CCGGAGCCCGCGCGGCGGCGCCGCCGTCCTCGGCCTCCCCCGCCGCCTCAGCCCGCCGCCGCCCGGAGACGTGGAGCGGTCCCGCGGTCCCGCGGCCCCGCGCTGACGGAGCCCGCGCCGCCTCGGCCGGCCGCCGCGCCATGGAGTTCTCCGAGAGGAAGCGGAGCAGGAAATCCCAGAGCTTCAAACTGGTGAGCCGAGGTAAGCGGAGCCGCCCGCCCGCGCGGGGAAAGTTGCGCGCCGAGGCCGGCGAGGCGGCGTAAACAAGCGGGCGGCGGGACGCACAATGACCGGGCGGCCTGAGTGCCGCCCGGCGGCCCCGCGCGTCAGGCCGGCGCCCACGGCCGGGCCGGGCGGGTCCGCTCGCCGCGGTTCTGTTTCGTTTCCCCAGAGGGAAGGGAAGGGGAAGAGCGCGGCCCCTCCTGAGCAGGGGGCTCCGTAGGCGGCTGAGCCCGGGCAGGAGGCTGCCGTTCAGCGTTCGTCTTCTCCCGCGGGCTGCGGCTTGGGAGGCAGGGTGTTTCGGACGGGCGGACGGAGGTCTGCAGCGGCCGAGGGGCGTTAGAGGGGCGCGGGCCGGGTCCCGAGGACCGAACCGTGCCGGTGCGCCGGCCTGGGCTCGGGAGGGAGGGAGGGAGGAAAGTTGCCTCCAGTCTGGGCTGAGTGCGGTTGCTGTCAGAGGCGTCTTCTCCGTGGGACTCAAATATGCTGAGAACTGAGGCTAAGAGCAGTGGGGAACACGGCTGTCCAAACGCCTGTGTCGCCTTCAGCGACAGGCAGGTGATTGTTCTGTTTTGTTTTCATTTTAATGTAACAGGTCCTAAGAGCGAGTCCAGACCCACCCCATTTAGATATCTTTGTATCAAGTTGAGGTCCAAGCCAAGCCACAGAACCTGACTGCTTTTCCTGGGTTGTTTTATCTGGCTTTGGCATCAGAGTAGAAGTCACATGTAAAGGAGTGGAAATTGGAGGGCAATCCCAAGTAATTGAGTTTTTCCAGCTAAGCTGAGCTAACTGAGATGTGGGTTCAACAAAGCCCACTTTTGAGGTAGCCTGAAAATGGTTTAATTATAGACGTTTTGAAGATCTGCTCATCTCTTTTCCCAAATTTAGTTTGGGTACTGTTTAATGAAAGAGGCCTGAAATAGTTTATTTTTTCAAAATGTTTGGTTCTTCTCTCTTTGTAAGAAAAAAATTCTTTTTCCGCAACAGTGTTGATTACTCAGTTATTTGTACTTCAGGAGCCCCTCTCTCCCTCTCTCTCCCTCTCTCCCTCTCTCTCTCTCTCTCTCCCTCTCTCTCCCTCCCTCTCTCTCTCTCTCTCTCTCTCTCTCTCTCTCTCTCTCTGACTACCCTGTTGGTGCTATCTGATTTATTCAGGAATGTAGGCTGCTTTCAGATTTATGACTTCAAGGAAGTTATTAATTTACCTTAAAAGTGAGAGTAATTCTGTCTATCCTTAGGTCCTGGGATGTCTGAGGCCAGAAGAATAGAATAGCTATTAAGAAGGAAGGAATCTCTTTTCATACACAGGGGAGCCTGCCTTTTAAGGAACAAGATTATAGAAGCATGGCAACCTCCATAGGGAAGCTTGTAAAATACTGTATTTTAAACCTTGACTGACATAGCAAGTTGTTTTTTTTTCCTTTTTTAAAAAAATTAGGGTCTGATTCTTCTTTCTGCTCTGCAGGTGCTTTTTTTCAGAAAATAAACTATTGCATATAAAATGAAGCAGTTGAATGAGAAATACTTGTGAAAGATGAAAATCTTGCCTCCTTTTAAATATACTATATTTGAAATAACAAATTAGTATTTTCTATACATGCTTTGCTTTAAGCTGCTTCAAAGCTGAGATTTTTCTGGTAAACAGAAAACTGAGTGTTCTGGATGACTGTGAAGCATGCTGTTGATATACTCATAAAAATGGGTTGTGGAGATAAATTTGGAAACATCCCCATGCCTGTGATTTGGCAAGAGGTTTCTCTTATACTTGTTGTCTCAAAGAAAAGAAGCCTAATTATTGGCAGCAGTGGGCAAAATCTACCATGAAAACTGACCAACCATTGCTGTTTTCTAAAGTCCAATTAATACGTCAAATTGTGTACTTCAGAGCCAGCAGTTTCAGGGATTATCATGGGCAACAAATTCTGTGGGTAACTGAGTTCTTGAAACAGATTTATAAATTAGGGTTTATAAATACTGGAGAGAATGGGAGTCTTGATTTTCTTGCTCGTTACTATCTTGAGGTCAGTAGAATTCTAATTTTTGGTTGTTTTCTCATGCCAGATCATCACCATGAGGTATATAAGATCTCAGAATTCAGCAGCATTATTAATGGGGAGGCCAAAGAAACACAATCCATTTTTTTTTTTTAGGTAGGTTCCTACATCAATTAATTTCTCAGCAAAACAGTGGCCATTTGCAGTTGGGGGGAATTGTGTGAGAACTGGAAATGTCAGCCACTGCTTAATGTGTGACACTCTTTTCAAGACCTTTTATTTTACAGATTGCCAATATATCCCTGATTAACATTGCTAAAAGTTGTAATTTCAGACATAAATGTTTATTAGTGTCTACACACAGTGCTAATTATCACTCACTCCCAGAGCCAGATGCTGACCGTGCAGTTTTGTGGCTCTGTGCTCACCCCATTTACATTGCATATTTGCTGGCATGCTTCACTGGCAATAGTTTGTGTAATTGGGGTATTACATCTTTGACATCTGGATAACAGAAATTCAATTTCCAGGAAGCTGCTATTTGTTTGGTTTTGCTTCTGCCTTGGGTGGGATAGAGGATTAATGTGCTGTCTTATTATAATGTCCCTTCACCTCTGTGGCCTGGTTGCTAATCCTGCCATGACAAAATTAAATTAAATCTACAGTCAAAAAGCGGAAGGAAAATAAAAGTGTGGTTGTCTGCCCAGCCACCTCTGGTAGTGCTCGTTACCATTCAGTGGCGCCTGGGCTCCTGCTCTTCTTTTCTGGCTTTCTACTCCTTCCCACCAACCTTTCTGAGCTTGGGGAAGAGCCCTGGCTTTCTTCTGCCTCTCCGCCTCCTTCCTGGCTCAGCTCAGGGACAAGCGGAGGAAAGGCAGCATCTCCCAGACCTTCTGCCAGTGTGGTCACACCTGGGGTGGGCAAGTAGCCAGGTGTTGCTGCTGTGTGCTGTGTAGTTTGTACTTGAAGGACTCTGGATGTGTGATCTGTCATCTGCAGACTAGGAACCAAAAATCAAACTGTTTAGGATTTTGCCTGTAAGAGTGACGTGCCCACAGAGTCACAGTGGAGAGAGTACTTGGTGGCATCAGGCCTTCACCTTGGCCCAGGTGGCAGGGATGCAGGACCTGAGAGGAGTCGGGGTGGGGGTGAATGAGCACAAGGGCTGGTGTGGCCCTTTGCCCGCCCTCCAGGCCAAAGGTTGCTGCTACTCAGAGCCAGTGCGACAGTTTTCAGATTACAAAGCTGGGAGAACAGTGTTCATCACTCGGATCTCTGTTTGCTTTGAAGGACAAAAAGGGTGGATTGCACAGGTCTGAAAGAAGCTGAGCAGATACAGTGCTTACAGATATGAAATAGTAGGGAATCACCAACGTTTCTTACATGAACATCATTGAGGGCCCAGGGGTTTCTGCTGAGGGAGAGAACATGACTGAGGCCAGCACTGCTTTCAGCACTGTTGACAGTTCAGAGAACTAAAACAGCCCAAAGGCTGATACGGAGGTGAATTGCTATGCCCCGGAAAGAGGTCTGGAACTATATACTTCTCAGTTCCCTAGCCTTGGTGAGTTCTCTATTTAAGAACCACTTACTTAGCCATTTGAAGTAAAGAATTTGCCTTCTAGTAGCAAATTTACATTGATTATACAAATGAAACACCTAGTCCTTGATTTAGTTCTTCAGGGCAGACCTGCCCCCAGCCTCCTTTCTTCTGTGTGCAGAAAAGTAGTAAGGGCCGGGGACTTAGCTCAGTGGTTCTGGCGCCTGACCCACAAGCGCAAGGTCCCGAGTTCGATCTCCAGTACCAAAAAGAAAAGAAAGAAAAGTAGTAAAGACATAAGAGGAATTGAATTTTGAAGATGAAAAAGGAGAGGCCAAGGAGGGTTCTCGGGCTCAGAATTCAGTTAATTCAAAGGTGGCTGCTGCTTTCCTGTTTCCTCATATGAGCGGGGGAAGATTAGAACACCCAGACAAGACGAGGCTGGGGGTCCACTTTCAAAGCAGTTGGTCAGAAGGTTGAGCAGCCTGGGAGTGTGCTGTAGGTTATTTCTCAATCTTTTGCTTTTCCAGAGTAAGTCAGATGTGATTCCCCGAGAACATTTTTTTTGTGTGTGTAATCTTCAGGTCATTTAAAAAATAGTGGAAGTGATTATGTAAACATGATTTCTAGAACAATTGGAAATAGCTGCTGATAACATGTGACGTGAAGAATTTTGTTGCTGACAGTGTCTTGGTTTGTACTCTTCTCAACCTAGATTTAAATCAGATTTGTTTTGTAAGTTGCCAGTATGTTCATAGTATTCTTTAGGGTGTGAAACGTACGGCATCTAGGAGAGTTTGATACCACGATA